TCGGATCTCTGCCGAATAGGAATCCGAAATCAATGTGAAATAGATGACCGTCATTTGTGAGTAGAATATTCTCCATGTGACGATCACCCACTCCCAACAGATATGTGATCACGCAGTAACCGGCTTTAGGGATTGATAGAAGAAGAAATCGGATCGCGAAGAATGAAAATTTCTCGCATGTTCCGATGGGCTACTGGGTGAAATCTTTGCGATAGGCAATCACTTGCAATCAAATTTGTATTTAGTTACTCGTCACAAGTGGATCTCAGGGTAGGCAGCAAAAGAAAAGTGAAGTGAATAAATTCAAGTGCACATTGGGATACGAATCGATGGTCACTGTCTTCAAAAAACAAACTCACTCTATTTGGAACAAGATGTCACTTATCTGGGGTTGCATGCAGCTGTACAAATCAACTTGAATTTACGTTAGGAAGCTTTTCCCTCTAAGAACGACTACAGGACCGCTGTTGGCTAACAACTGATTCAAGCAATTGTACATAGCAAACTTGAAAACAGCAAGGAGAGAATACGGGTAATGAAACTCGCGAGTGCGGGCCTTGTCGTGATGGGACGTCAACTGTTCCGAAATTTACGACAGTTGAAGGAAACAGGAATAAAACCACTCTGTTGAGATAAGAAAAGAGCAACTTGCAGAGTATCATTATTGGAACAGAACCAATACAAATCAATTTTTATTTCTTGATTGTTTTCTTCAACAACCTATCATTACCAATTGTGCTGACTGGAGATCTCTTCATGGAGTATCATGCAATTCGCATGCGTAAGGAGCACTGACTACCAAATCATCGATGCAAGTGGGTTGACCAGATAAGGAGACAAAACTTCAGCCAGAACAGAACACCAGAATTATTCAACGTGAATTTTAAAAACATATATAACGAACCTTAGTACGTTGAATGGGGTAAGGAACAAAGGATAACGAATAATTTTTTTTCAAGTAGAGATCGAGGCAACAAGCCAAGAAGAAAAAAGAACAGATCACATAAAACTGACTCAAGGTTTCCCAGTCAAAAATGAAAAGGGGTGCATTCACTTCCGACTAAGAAAGAATATTTTAGGGAAAAGGCAAGGCAAAAATGGCTCGAAAGATCGTAGTGATAGCGATAACCGTGCGATGAACAATGACAATGCATACTAACCAGTAGTGTTCGTGAAGGGGTTTTCAAGAAAAATTAACGTATTTCGTTCACGCATGAAAGCGAGCGAATGTACAGTTGATGCGCATTTGATAATCGATATAAAAAGGGGAACACTAAGGCAAATCTAGGAATATGGATCTATTGCATTTGGCTGTGTGGAGTAAAGCGGGAGAGAGAGAAAGAATGTTTGACTTACCGCACGACCGGATATAGGTCTCCATCACTTTGGCTTCCACACCGAGTGGATCGGCTGGACTAGGTGCGCTCTGTTGAAGAAAGCTGAGTAGTGTACCCTGTTTCAATATTTCCGACAGTGGGGTGGATTCAACGAACTGAACGAAACCTGAAAGAGCACATGAAACGGGAAATGGAGTTCCGTTTTTTTGACTAATTGAATCACAAGGATTGTATCATAGCAATTCATTATAGAGACGGGATTCGATTATGGAATAAAGTCCCTTATAAACAGAACAAAGCGAAAGCACAAAAACTTTAGACAGCTGTTTTAGCCACATCAAACCAGTCTATCGGAACCGCATGGAGGATAGAACCAAAGGATTCATAGATTTTAAAAAACCTGATTAACGAGCAGTTCATCATACCAACGGATGAGAGAGAGAGAGTACATGTATTTGAAAAACTATCGCTCTCCTACAAGAGGGTAGTTTTTCTCAAAACCAAAAAGCTCTATTTCCCATCGATGAGAACTCTTCAGTCCTAGTTTGATCTAGTAATTTACGAGTATTCCGCGTGATTTACTACAGTTTCTCTAAAGGCCAAACATATCGTATTCATGCATGACAATTTTCAATCCAGACTGAATTCCCACCGCTTGTTAGACAGTCACGGTTCAGTGAGGTGTTCCATACCCTCGCCCTTCCCTCCCCCCCCCCACGCCCCACCCCGG